AATTCGTAGTAAATTCAATATTTTAATTGTTAAAAAAAATGTGTATATTTTACGTAATACCTAATAAATGTTACAATAACCAACAAATAAAAAAACAAACAAGTCTATTCTTTTGCTTTCTTGACCACAATCTTCCTATTAATGGGTAGGGATGATTCGATACTACTAAATACTCATATGGTATCGATACCTCTATTCGATACTGAGCACTTGGTATAGAATGAAACCGTATTCGATACCGAGTACTAGTATCGAATGAAAATATTATTATCGACACAACATTCTCTTAGTTTCATTTTTCGTTCATTGTATCATCGTCAATTGTCATTATCAATTTACATAGTGTAGTGTAAATTAAATTAAATAATATTTATTATTGTTTTGATATTTTGATGTAGAAGTAGGGTGTGTGAGATTAGGCAATAGACAATTAGTAAGAGAAAACTCCATTTTCCATTTATGTAGACTTGTAGTTTGTATATTGTTTTGTTAATAAAATTGTTTCTTAATTTTATCCTTACATACTGTTATTATGATCATTATGTATAATTAAATTAAATTTGATTCTAATTCAACAAATTTCATTGTATATTGATCATTATATATAATTAATATAAAGTTTATTCTAATTCGGCAAATTTCATTGTTTATTTTTCCGTCATCTGTCTCTGTTATGTGACTCTGTCCGAGTTACTCTGTCCTGTTAGCTGTACTTGTGAGTGCTGTTACGTCATACAAGTGGTTCGGTTACGTTACGTCATATATGAGTAACGAGTACTCACAAGTATCGATACCAGAACTTGGTATCGAATGAGGTATCGATACTTTGATTTGATACCGACCTAAGTACTTGGTATCGAATGCCGAGTGGTATCGATTCATCCCTATTAATGGGAAACTTCCCTTTTTGTGTCATTATTTTCCTGGTACCGCAAAAGTCACATTTTACTTCAAATCTAGAGCAACATTCATGAAACCACCAAGAACACTTCACCCAGTCTTCTTTTTTGTAGTTTCATTGTAAGCCTGTCCACATCCCACACACTTATCTTCATCCCATTCTTCTACTGACATACCGTCATCTTGGACTAGATCTGCAGAATCATAGCTTTCTGAGTCTGAGCTTTTAAACTGTGTCACTTTGCCAGATGGTTCCTTTTTTGGCTTGAGAAACTTCTTTTTTGAATCAATTTTTTTTTCTTAGTCGATCTTGTTTCTTTTTCTTTTTTTGTTTGTCTTTCATTGTTTGCTCAACTGACTTTCTTTTTAAAACAGCAATGTTCTGAGCTGAATTTAATACTTTTAAAACAGTCGTCAAATATCTCTTAACCGTTACTTTCTGCGTGAGAGAAGGGACGGGTGATATATGTTCTAAAAGTTTAGAAGGAGGCATTTTTGACAGTGTAAGGCTACTAAAAGTACTGAGGATACTAGCAAGATCAAATTGAGTTCTTGGTACTGCACAGGAGACAGAAAAATCAACAGTGTCACACTAGTTAGAGTATTGACGTGTTGGCCGATAAGTTCTGTATTGGAGGCAACAGGATCAACCTCGCCGGTTGGTGCACAAGCGAGAGTGTGCACCAATACTTGGACAATGGGCACTGCACAGGAGGAATCGGGATCTAGGTAGGAGTAGGCTGGTATTACAGACATATCTAGAGGGACTTTGCCACAAGCTTGAAATCCACTCAGACAGTTTAGTATATCTGCAGCTTTGGTCCATGCAGAGTTGAGAAGTTTTTCAAACTGCAGACGGTTGATCTTTCTGGATGGATTGTTTGTAATGAAATAATTACAAGTACTATAAAAGTAGGAGTTAGGTGATTTGAAAAAGGATCGGTTCAAAGGTTATAGCCAGTGCGAAGTATGGGGTGGAATGCTCATCAAAATGATTCCTTCTTGCTCCGTGTACACTAGGACTTCCAAGAAACTGGTATGAGAAGTGTGACCATCAAGTAAGAGAAGTACTTTGCGACTGATTTTCTAGGTTGGAAATGACTTTTTAACCAGTGCAGAAAAATTTCACTAGTGACATAAGAAGATTTTTGTAACATTTTTACAACTGAACCAGGAGGCATCCCGTCCATGAACTTAACCTTCATTATGCAGTATGGGGGAAGAAATGTACCTTCAGCGCTAGCACAAAATAGAACAGAATTGGTTTTACCCTTTTTCCCTGACGTACTGGAAGTTACATTTTTGGAACCTTTAATGGCAACAGCATTTCCTGGCTTGTTGTTCAGTTGAAGCACGGTTTCGTCCATGTTAAAAATGTGCCCAGGCTTTTCAACCAAATTGTTTTCCAAAATAACACTTTCGAGTAACTTAAAGTACTCTTCCACACACCTCGTGTTCATTCCCTTAGCTCGGGATACAGATACACCTTCTGATTTTCTAATAGTAAGAGTAGGATTTCTCAAAAGAAAAGAGTTTAGCCAATCATAACCAGCTTTTCCAGTTTCCTTGTTGAATTTTTGAGGTAGTTTTAGCTCTTCAGCAAGTTTAAAAGTCATGCTTCTCACTTATTCCATGCAAGGAGTAAACCCATGAACTTGTAACTTTTTTATGTGGCCTACAATCATCTGTTCATTTACTCTTCCTAAAATGGAGGAAAACCCTAAGCTGTCCTTCATAAACTTTTGTTTTTTAATCCTTCTTTTAAAAGTGGTCTTAGTGACAGTGACAAGAAAAAATAAACATTATAAATTCATTATGAAAATTATGAACGGGAAATGATCTAGCCTTATTAATAGCTTTAATTGTTGTTTCGTTGTTATTTTCAGGTATGATACCTTATAAAACTTTGCAAATTTTGTAGCAATAAATAAAACTTTGTTATGTTCAGAGCAACTCAATTTGGATATTAAAAATCTACTCCCAATTTTGTAAATTCTATAGTGCTGTAAAAATCCCTGAATGATTAATAGAGAATAGAAAAGAACTGAGTTGACAACTCAGAAATACCCCCTAACATAAAATCCTTCGACATAAAACAAGCTATGGCACATCTAAAGAATAATAAGGCTCCGGGTCCAGATGGAGTACTTGTAGAAATGTTGAAGGAAGGAAATAAAATTATTCTCGAAGAAATGAAAAAACTTTTCAACGAATGTCTTCACAGATGAGAAGTCCAAGTTGATTGGAATGAAAATTTGACAATACTTCTCGTTAAAAAGGGAGACATGACAGATATTAAGAACTATAGGCCAATCTTCCTGCTGTCCCAAATGTACAAATTGTTTATGAGAGTAATAACTAAAGCTATGGTTTGTTAGAATAGTGGGCGACGCATAACTCACACTCAGTCGAACGCCGCGCACGTTCGTTAATATCAAAGACATTGTTCTCTATGATAACTTCTTGTTAGGTTCTTTCTGCTGAGCTGCGCGCACTGCAGAATGATAGCCGTGACGTCGACGGTGTGCGCTGGAATCAATTGCGATTTGATTTGGACGCAAACGTTCAGCTGAGCTCACAGCGTACACTTCTTCTTCTTCTTCTTCGTCTAGCCATTCACGTCCACATCTGAACATAAGCCTCTTCAAGTCTTCCTTTCCATTGTTTTTTATTGTACGCTACTTGTAGCCATTTTTTTCCCGGCAGTCCTTTTCAGATCATCTGTCCATCTCATAGGAGGTCTGCCTCCGGGTCTTTTGTGTTGGTATGGTATGGTCCATACCATACCATACCGACCAGACCATACAGCGTACACATCTATACCGAAATTATAATTGTATTTTTAAATAGTTTATATAGTACTAAATTTTTTCTTGATGAAGATGAAAGACTAATGGAATGTAAGACAGTTCAAAATAAATCCCTGGAAAGTCTAAAATATTCTCGAAATTTTTCCTCGATTTGAAACAATCTTTCTTCGACTCTTAATTTAAAAGCAACTTTTATATTGCGTTAAGTTTGTGAGAATTCATTTTTTAAACGTACAACCTTTAAGAGAATAAACGTGAAACTAATTTCTAAACTTGTTTTCAGGGCAACAGAATATTTATGCGAATTAATCTAACAAACCGACTCACCCAAAACTGCCGTGAGTCGAGTACAATAGATTCTGCTGTACTTGTATGGTGTGCGCTGCGCACTGTTCTAACAAACCGTAGCTTTACAGGTTAACGTCGAAGCTTGATAGCTATCAACTGGTAGAGCAGGCAAGATTCTGAAAAAGTTACAGTACAGCGGATCATCTTCTTAGTCAGAACTCTAATAGAGAAAGCCAATGAATATAACTTGAACTTATATATTAGTTTCGTTGATTACGAAAAGGGATTGGGCAATAGAGAGAGAGCTATGAACAACTGCAGGATACAGAATGCTCATAAACAATATTTACAAGAAAGCTACAATGAAAATACAAATTGATACGAAAACCAAAGCTATACCAATCAACAGATGATGGAACCACGAAATACAACAATGGAGGCGATGGTTAGGAAAGAGAAGCAGAGGAAGACCACAAATGAGGTGGGCTGATGACATTAAGAGGATCGGAGAGCACAACTGGAAGCAAGTGACGCAAAATAGAAGACAATGGATTGATTACTTAAGACTGAAGAAGAAGAAGAATAAGAGAAGAACTGCAATATAAATAATATCAGAAATTTTCTAAAAGACACTCATTTCTTTGACCAATTATTTAAATGTAAATACAATACAATGTAAATCGCTATCTAGCTAATAATCATAATCCAACAGAAATATATATAAAAATACACGGCTGTATTAGTTCTATACAATATGTTTGTGTTATTTATAGAACCTAATACAACAAAATAGAAAATAGAAGATAATTTAACAGTTGGGACAGCCTGTTTGATCCTTTAAGCGGAAGCATATCAACGACTCGACGTCACTCGATATAATTTATCAAATTTCATATCGACTTATCGGTTAAGATTAATTATAGTCTGAAATCAACTATAAGAAATTAATCTGCGTACATTTTGTTAGTTGATTTGTATAAACAGTACAGTGTTTTATTTAAAATGTCTACAATTGAAATAGAGTTACTCAATCTCTCAAAAAGTGATCTAGTTTCCATAATAATAAACAAAAAAGTGTCTGATAATCTCAAAATTAGTAATGAACTTGCAGATTTTCTAGCAAATAAAAGTGCATCTATTGAAATGACTACACAAACTCCTAGTGAAGACATTCGTTTCCTTCTCCTAAACTGTGAATTGACTGTGGCTAAATGTGAAATTAAAGCTAACAAACGAGTGATGATAGAAATGGAAAAATCATCTAAACATCAAGATCATATCGCAAAATTACTACAAGGTAATATACAAACTTTAAAAGAAGAAGCATTAAAAGCTCGTAATGAAGCTGCATCACGAAAGCACGGCCAGAATAGCACAACAAACAACATAACAAATGCAATGCAGTATAACAACATCAGCAGTGGGGCTAGTGAAGATGTCAGGAAAGTAGCTTTATTGGGAGACGGTACCGATAGTTCTGGTGCTAGTAATGCTCAACCAGAAGCTGCAGCGGCTAAGCCAAAGAAACTTGGATTTCTCTCGAAACTAACTTCAAAATTGCCCCTAGGAAAACTACCAGGAGGGTTACCAGGCGGTCTTCCTGCTGGAGGTCTCCCTGCTGGTCTTCCCGCCGGAGGTCTCCCTGCCGGAGGTCTTCCTGCTGGAGGCCTTCCCGCTGGAGGCTTGCCTGCAGGAGGATTGCCCGCTGGAGGCTTACCTGCTGGATTGCCTGCTGAAAACTTACCTTCCGCAAGTTTACCTACTCCTCCAGCTGCTGTTCCAAAGGTATAGATGGCTTGTGTAAAATAACTTAGTTGTTCTAGTGGTGCTTCGTTAGGTAAATATTGATGTGTTATATAAAAACTTTTTCGAAGTTTAGTTTAAACTCAAGCGATGCAAAAATGTTTTTGGGAAATGATTTTTATGCTATTTTATACTGTGTATGTGATTTTTTAAATATATGATCATCATCTACAATGTAAAAAAGAATCTTGTGTACCATTTGACTATAATCTTAATTATTATATCAGTTTTCATGTGTACAAAGTTATTTAAGCAAGGTGAGAATAATTATAATAAACTAGCAAATAGAGTTTTGCATATTTTAATTTAAAATTTTGTTTTTTATTTGAATCATAACTTCATTTTCTTTCTTTGCGCTACAACACAGTGCAGCTTTTTTCCTGCTTAACAATATTGTTATATTTTGCACTGTCAGCTACTTTTCTTTTATATCCGCTCTTCATGGTTCTGAGACCCTCCATTCTTCACGGAGCTAATCATTGCTTTTTCTTCCTTGAAGATTCCATATTTGTACTCTTTGTATTATTTTTCAAGTGTTTTTAAACTTAAACCCAGCTTAACTTTTGTGACTTCACAGATAGCTCTGCATTAGGTCATTGAGCTAGTGGTTAATTTGTCATTACAAAGGGTTATATACTCACACACACATACACACATATATATATATATATATATATATATATATATATATATATATATATATATACAGGGTGTCTCACGTCGGGCTTATACTATCCAAATAGGAAACTACTCATGCGATATTTATAAAAATTGGTTTGTAGGGGATTAAAAGTTATGACGAACTTAAAGAATATATTTTGGCAGATATGCATGAACTGCAACTGTGTTATTTTAAATAGAACACACTGTATATTATTGCATTTTTAGATTCTGCATAAGATTATAGAGAAAAAACAAACAAAAAGTTCATATATCCATTTACAATGATCATGGCTTGAAATTCTTTACACACAAGGAGTATGTACTTTTCTTTAAGAAATTTACATCGAAATCCTGAGGGCCTGTATAGGTATGATCATTTAAAGACATCTCGCCAGGAAAACCGCTGGTTTGTCTCCTACTTCTTATGAATGTCCAAAAACTATTTGGGTCATGCAAAATGTTATCTTCAATATTATTTTGATGCTGCATAAATTCATTTTTGATTTGCTTTTTAATAGTATTTCTAAGACTCCTGAATTTATTATTATCGACAGCACTAGCTTTCCTTATTTTTATATGTTTGCTTAATTTGTTTTTTTTTTTGTCTGATTTTTTTAATAGGGTCTATACTAAAATAAGCTGGATATTTCTGTTTTTGTCTATTTTTAATAATTTTCTTTGGGATGGCTTGATCAATGCAGTCATACAATTTAGCGTAAAATTGATTAATACAATCTGTAGCAGTTATACAATTATACATATCTGACCAGTCAGTGTCCCTTATTAATTGATACAGAAGATTAAAGTCCCTCCTGGCAGAATCATACCTATAAGACTGTTATTATATAAGACTGTATATTATTCTCAGTGTATGAATTATCTTTATATTCTAGTAACATTTCTAGTGCCGGGTGATAATAATCTTCAGGTACCAAACGAGACCCAGACCTAGTTAGATTGGTTATGGATATGTTTGACAGTATAAGATCAAGCAGTTTATTTTTACAATTTGAAATTGTATTATATTGATTTAAATTGTTTAGATTTTGGAATTCTTTAAGCAAGCTGCTCTTTTCACAGCTAATAAAGTTAATTCAAGTTAATAAATCCAGGAATATTAAAATCTCCAAATATCTCCAAATATTAATATTTTCTGACAATACTTGGTAATAAAGTTCTAAAAGTTCTTTTTTCCAGGAGGTATATATATACAGGAGACATAAAATGAATATGTTTTAAACCTTACCTTAAGTAACAAGCACTCAACAATTATATTACAATTAACTTTAATACTTTCTACAATAAATTCCTTTTTTAATGCTCTACCATAACTCCACCACCCAATGTCTTGCCACTGGCCCTATCTTTGCGGAAGACTATGTAGCGATTATCAAAAAGTTCTTCATTGGAGATTCCATCTATAAGCCATGTTTCAGTTAATAGGATTATATCAAAATCTTCACTAAGAACATTGGTATATAGGTCAGTTGTTTTAGTGCGTAGGCCTCGTACATTTTGATAGAAAATGTTTAGATTTTGGGTCTGCAATGTTTGTATCTTTAATTCTGATTCTGAGAATCCATCTGCCTTGTTGGCATCCTCGTTTTTACTAAAAAATGAGACACGAGGATACCAGATGGCCATACTTCCCTCTTCCAAGCTTTTTTTAGTTCATCTCTTCTGATGGTAACTTTCATCGACGTATAAAGTTCAGGGAGTTTAGATGGATGAGACTCACACCGTACATCCTTAAAATTGGGGTCTAAAAGCCGCTTCAAGTCTTCTGTGGTCGTATTTGGTGCAAGCCTAGTTACATAAGGGGATACACACTTAGGTACTGACTGTACATCCTTGGTTTCTTCGTTATTCCCAACCATAAACTTGCGGTATCTCCTTCTATGCTGCTGTTGCCATTCTCCTTCATGATTTTCTGTGTGGCCTAATTTTATTACTTCTTGCATTTTATTAGCCGTATGAGCATGCAGAATACCAGCGTTTAAGTTCTGTCTATTAACGTATTTTGTTGATGCGTTTGGTTAATGTTTTGTTTTGATTTTGAATTTAATTCGTCAGCTGATATCTGCCTGACAGCAGCCTGTTCTGTGTCTGTGGTATTGGCGTAGCAACCGCAGAACTGTAACTTTTATTTGCAACGTTGCCAGTGTTCATCTTGAATAAAGATATATTTTCTTTTAATAGTTTAATATTCTAAGAGCATATGCATATGCTAAGAGCATGTTCTAATAGAACATGCTCTTTAGCTTTTAATTCAGAAATAAGTTCGTCCTTACTTTTAAGTAATTCTTCTTTGGCAGCTAGCAGCATTCTGATGTTTTCGTTAAAGTTTTGTTCTGGTATAACCTCACTTTCTATAGCACAGCATTTCACTAAGTTATTTTTGCCAACAACTACCAAGCCAGCTACCCTTAGAGCACAAGATGGATGGAAAACTGCTTTACACGTTACACATCTCACAATAGTGGTAACAACATTTCTTTCGCAACCTTTGCAAGTTTTAATTAGATCGCAATTCGCAGCACTCTCTTCTCCGGCCATGTTGCCAATCAATCCTAATACTATTAAACACTGAATATTTCTAGTTATAAAAGAAGTTCGATTAGCGGTTAAAATTTTTGATGTTTCCTTTTTTGAGTGTATTTAAATAATGAGTGTCGTTAGAGAAATTTAGAGACTAATTTATAACCGAATTAAATAAACAAATTAAACGTTGGCACACATTTGACATCTTTACAAGAGTAAACGTGATGTTACAAATTTACATTTCGCCGGATATGGACCAATAAAGTTTCAATATCCTTTTGAAGTTATAACTGAACCAAAAGCCTCTCGTTAACTAAATTATTGGCAGCCCATGTTTTGGGTCTAGACATCAAATAAAACGACCCGGCGAGGACCAATTAATGGCTGTCGTTAAAATTTATCAATTAGGTAGCTGATAAGTTGTAATTAATTCAGCGATTGGTAGTCTGTTTACTGTGTTTATGAAAGATACACTTAATGAACCAAACAGAAGTGTGTGTAGCATACAGATAGCTTAGGGCTTTAATTGAAAGGTACGATAACTTAATAGTGTTGAAGTGAATCAAAGCAGACTAAGAATATGTAGAAAACTGCAAAGAATCGGTTCACAAAGAGATAATTTTATTTTAAATTTAATAAGAGACACACATACAGTAATATGCAGATCACAAAGCAGTAAGTAGTTGATTTCACAAATTATACAAGCAAAGAATAGAAAAAATATAATTTTTGGAACACTCATAGCATTATATTTTTGTCTTTATCCAAATTTGGAGTTGACTTCAATATTTCAAAAGTTTAAATCCCTGCTATGTTTAGTCAGTAAATAACAATAAATGTTACTCAATTTGTCTATATCGGACTTCTTATTTATACAAGACACACTTGCCAGAATACAGGAATCCTCGAAATTAAATTCATGTTTTAAATTTAATGCATATTCTGTCAACGCGCATGCGGTAATTTTTTTGGTTTTTATGTCGCTGCGATGTGAGATCACTCTACTGTGAATATTCTGGCAAGGGAAAATAACCATTCTAAACGTGTTTTCTTGGAAATGTGTTTAATAAAGTCCAGTGCGTCTTGTATAAATAAGAAGTCCGATATAGACAAATTGAGTAACATTTATTGTTATTTACTGACTAAACATCAAAACTGACACAAAGACTTACTTGTACATATACACACCATAATACACCTGCATGCTAAACAGGTTGCATACCATCAACACAGGTTTAATAGATTACCTTCTATTAATAACATAATATAACTCCTAATGAATTTTTAATCATACTATTTTTATTTTTGTTTTTTTTTTATTCTCTATGGGTAAGTTAAAACACACAAACAAGATGTAGAAAACGAATTCTTAGAACTTTTATTATTTTTAACTAAATTTTAAAATGTATTGTATCCATTATTGTATAAGTTATAGTTTATATGTTTGTTATTAATGTTGAGTGTCATAGCTTCTTACAAATAATCTCAACGACTAGTAAGTACACTGACATTTTGTGATATATTGTAAATATTTACACATTTTTCTAATTACAGTGTCTTGATAAAGAAATTAAACAGTTCCGAAAGCTAGACCAAAAGTCAAAAGAGTGTTTCTGTAACATCCAGGCCAAACTTCTGACTGCAGCCCCAATAAACTTTGTTGTTTGTATATATATATATATATATATATATATATATATATATATATATATATATATATATATATATATATATATATATATATATATATATATAGGTATAATAAAAACGCTTTCTCCGAAATATCTAAAAATTATACTAAATTAATATATAGGTAAAACCGGGTAACATTATAATAAGCAAAAGCTGCTTAATAGTTCATTTCAAATTCTAGGTTATTAAAATTGAGCATAAAAAAGTTTGACTGTTAGTAAATCGTGACTTGATAAGTAAATCTTTATTATTCCAAGTCATCCTGGTGAATTTTTGCGTTTTCTGTATACGATAAGTTGTTTTAAATCGTTATTAATTAACTTATTGAAATATTGTGTTCTATTTTGCTTCAATTAAAAGAAAACATCCATAACTTGTTTTGAGGTTAACTTTGTCATGTGTTAATATTACACTACTTAATGTTGTAGTAATTCCAAAATCTTGATATTATAAGGTACCTACTAACTTACCTATAAAATTTTTTTCAGCAAAAATGTCGCAAAAAAGAGATCCTACAAAATATACACTGCAGAAGGGATGAAATCTGCTGTGAGTGCTATTAAGAACGATGGTATAAGCATAAAACGAGCTGCTGAAATGTATGCCATTAAACGGATAACTTTATTGAATCATGTAAATAATTTTAAATGTACAGATGTTGGAAAAAGTATTGCCGGGAAAAAATTGGATTGCTGGTAACATATTTGTTTTGAATTTAAGGTTGAAGGATCTACTAAGTTGTAGAATTGCTCAAAACCTTCTCAAGAACTGCGCTGAAGCCTGTTTAGCTGAAGTGTTAGACGACTTTTATCGACAGCTAAAAAACACTATTAAAAAGAATGATTTTAAAAATAAACCACAAAATATATTTAACTGTAACGAGTCAGGTTTTCAAACGGACGTTGGAATCCAAAAAAATTAATGTGGAAAGAACGAAAAAACACGATACCCTGTTAGAAAGAGTGGAAAAAATATGCTGTTTGGGCTGCAATAATAAAGATGTTGCCGAATGTGCCATTTCTTGAATGGTATTATGAAGTTTTTAAGCCTAATACATTGCCTTCCAATTCCAGGTACATATTTTGATAACCAACTTTTAAGTTTTCAGAGAGAAACATCTTAGCCAACGAACAACATAGATAAAAAATGGCAAAACGTAAAAATGGCGATAACAGGTCCTACGAAGAAAATTCTGACTAAAGAAAAACTAAAAATAAAGTAAAGGTGGATGACTGATAAGATCCTTCTTCTCATGAACAATCAGAGAATAATGAAAGGAAAAAACGAACAAAGGTATAAACAAATACAGAAAGAAATCAAAATAGAAATCAGAATAGCAAAAGAAGATTTTTATAAAAGAAAATATGAAGAAATAGAACAATTGCAGGCAAAACATGATATTTTTATTGTACATAAAAAAGTGAAAGAACTTACAGGTTCACAAAAACGTAAGCAGCCAAATACCCTGTATAATGTCAACGGAAACATAATAAAAGAACTAGAAGAACAGTTGAAGGCATAGAAAAACTATATTGAAGAACTCTTTGCAGATGATAGACAACAATCTAAGCTAAGTAACATACAAGGAGACGAAGGTCTAAAAATAACGGAAGAGGAAGTAATGTACGCACTAAAAAGAATGAAAAATGGTAAAGCCCCAGGTCCAGATGAAATATCAACGGAAATCCTTAAACTAATAGAAAAAGACTCGATTCACAATTTGGTTGAATTTTTCAATAGCATTTATACATCAGGAAAAATACCATAAGAATAGCTTTTATCCACCTTTGTTATTATACCAAAAAAGATAAATGCCAAACAATGTAGTGATTGCCGTACAATCAGTGTGATGAGCCATGTACTGAAAATA